AAGCTTCCACTCCTCAGCCCATGATCTGCAAGGAAACCAACCACAAGAGCACTCAAGATAATGGGTTAGTGGGTTAGTTTGGAAGTTAGAATAAAACCCACAATTAAACCCACTAATCACTACTTAGCCCACTAAGTCATAACACTTAGTCCAATAAGTAATAACTAAAATTTAGTTTGAAAGTAAGAGAGTTAAAAAACACTTTTGTAATAACAACGTGTTTCAAACTCCCCCTTTTTAACTTTCTGATCAAAACTAAATTTTAGCTAGAACTCCCCCTGAGATATTGCTTGAACTCCCCCTGAATTTGAGAATACCAAAAAATAATATAGAAAGATCAATTCAAAACAAATTCAGCAAGATAGTCCAACAAAAACTTAAACAAGAAATAACCAAAGTGCAATCCTAATTAAAAGTTCAGGGGAAAATAAAAAACAGAACAAAATCAAAATATTGTTCATGAAAACATTTAAAGTAGAATCTCCAAAGTCTCCTCAGTGTCAGCTGCTGCTCCTCCATCACTTGCACTGGATCCACTGCTCTCCTCTTCACCCTCATTCTTTGCTCCTTCTTCATTAACTCCTTGCCCTCTGCCTCTGGCATCCAAAGGGTGGGAAGTTCCTGCTTCAGCTTCATGACCTTTTTCTCCCCCTTTTTGATCAGAAAGAGCTTTTTGGAGCATGTCCACCATGGTCTAGTGATAGGTAATCTGAGCTAGAGAGTGAGTAAGCTGCTGTAACAGAAGATCTCTAGGAACAAACACAAGAATGTTAGAAGTGTTGTCAACATTGGGAGCAACACCTTCAGTACCCAGATTATTTTGACTTGATTCACTTGAGAGAAAATTATCTCCATTCCAGGGAAGATCTTGGACATGAGGAGCTCTTAGAAAATTTTGAGATACAGTGATCATGCCTTGTGGAGTGTGAAGATACTCAGAGTCATCTTGTCCCAAGTTTTGAGAGAGTAAAATGGAATAGATGAGAGAAGGATAAGGAAGATGAGTAGAGGGTGAAATTTTCTGGGCAAGATGACCTATAGTATTGAAGAAACGTTTGCCAAAATCAACTGGTAATCCCATCCCCAATTTGTACATGAGTACTGCATGAGGTTTAGTCACCACAGAGACATTTTTGGATGGAATCCAATTCATCACTGTGAGTCTGAACAGGACAGAGTAGAAAGCAGTGAGTTGAGAAACCTTAAATTTTCTGGGGTGTGCAGGCCAACTTTTTAAACAGTTTCCAGAAATAACTTTACAAACCTCAGTAAAATCACCATAATTATCCTCATCAATCACAGTAGGAGTTTGTAAATGAGAGTTGATAATTTTGGGAGAAAAAGAGAAGATTGAATCTCTCACAAAAACTTTGCCAAAGTTTGGAGAGTTTTTCTTTAAAAAAGAGGTTTGCAAATTTGCATAAAATTCCTTCCACAGTTGGATCATAGGAGCAGGCAATGTCAACAAGGCTAAGAATGTTTCTTTGATGAAGAAAAGCTGTGATTCTATGCCTATCAAACTCTTCCTTGGAAATTTTCTTTTCCTCAATGAATTGACAATTCATGACTTGAGGACTCAAAATGGAATCAGATTCAAAATAAAAATTAGGACTGAAGGCATTGTTTACCTCAAAAGGGGTTGACAAATTCTTCCCATCCAAGTCTGGTTCTTCTTCTTCTGAGGAGTCCTCATCTTCTGAATCTTCCAGTTCATCTGGAATGTATGCTGGTTCTATGTGATGCAGCAGGTGGGACAACATCTTCTTCCTGCTGAGAAGAGTCTTCAGAAGATTCACTGTCTGAATCTGAAGAGGGCAAGTTTTTGCGAAAAGCAGCTAGAGGAACCTCCCAGCTGTCATCACTTTTCTCTGGTTCTTCAGCCTGAGGAGGAGATGTATCTGCTTGAACTGCTGCTTCTGCCAGGGTTTCCAGAGGGTCTGCATGAGGTACTGATGGAGTTTCTTCAGTAGTGGTGAAATCCTGAGCATCAACAGTGGGAATGTCAACATGCTCTGCAGAAGACATCCCAGAAAAATCAGGCATTTCTTCATCCTGATAAGGAGCAACACCCTCAGCAGCATTCTAAGGAACATTTGCTGAAGCAGTAGGTGCAGCAGCATCTTCTGGAACAGGTGCAGCAACACCTTCAGAAACAGGTGCAGCAACATCTTCAGGAACAGGATGTTGAGAGGCTGCTGTTGCCATGCTGGGCTGAGATGTCTCCCCCTGAGTTGATGCTAGGGGAGGTGAGTTGTTGGATGATGACTCGGAGGAGCTGGAGGACAAGGCTTGAGCCTGTGGTACTGCAAAGGTAGGATCCCCTGCTTCATCATCAGTTTCTTCATTTACCAAATGAAGACCTCTTTGTTGATTTGGCCGAACTGGAGTGCGGCCACCTCTGCCTCCTCTTCTTCCACCTCTGCCTCCTCTTCTGGGAGAGATTTCACCCCTCCGGCGTTGTGACCCTGCAGTATTCAGATCTGGAAAGGGGTTCATGCGTTTGGACCGGCGAGTTGGGAATCTTCCGGCAGTGGAAGATGGACCCACAAAATCGAAGTTGTCTGGGTCAATCGGATTAAGCTCGTCTCCGGGATCAATGTAGCTGATAGGAAGAGCATCAAGGTTGACCGGATGAACGATGATGGCCAGATTTGGGTCTGCTGGTTTAGGTGCTGCACCATCGTTGTGGACATCATCTTCGGCTGGAAGGGGATTTCTAGGTGGAGATGCCATGATACAGTAGATAAAAATGTCTTCTTTGTGCTTTTGATTTGAAAGTGTGAATTTTCGAAAGATTAAGCACGAAATTTATAAGCCCTAATTTTTGCTGAGAAAAATCGAAGTGGAGAAGATGAAGAAGTGGGGTGCGTTTTTCTTGGAGAAAGTGTGATTAAGGAGAATAACACTTCCTTTGGCAGTTTAAGGCAAAACGTGACACATGGCATAATAAGGAGTGGACTTAGTGGAAAATGAAAGACTAACCCATGTACCCCATGACCCATATAAATAGTGATAATTCAATATAAATAATAGTAATAAAAATAATAACATTATCACTCACGAAATATTCACAAAAATAAAAAACAAATTTATTAATGATTAATAGTGTGAGAAAAAAAATGGCTAACAGGCATAGATTTTATTATGTATATATCTAATAATTTTTTTTTTTTAACTCTTATTTTCAAGTCAAACAATTCACATGGAACATAATCAAGTGTTCAGTTTGAAGGTTCCTCAGTTACTAAGTGATCCAGCCCGGGATTGCTTGATAGATCCAATTAGGGGTGGATTCGGTACGGTTGCCAAATATTTAGCTCAATACCGTGTACCTACCGTACATTACAGTATTGAAAAAATTCATACCGTTACCGTACCAAAAACTTCGGTATACCAATGTTCGGTATACCGTTATTTTCGGTACGGTACAATCGGTACGTGGTATTTACCGTACTTGGTGATGCATCAAAGATTAAAGAACAAATGACTTAAATATATATATATATATATATATATATATATATATATATATATATATATATATATAGATATATATATATCCTAATTGAAAATAGTTCTAGTTACTCTTGTATGAGTTATATCTTATTTTCTAAGAAGGTCCGATGTATAATCAGAATAATTAACATAATTTTCTTCATTGAAACAAGAACATATACCATGATAATGTAAATGTTGTTTAATGGAACAACTAGGTATTTATTAGGAACTTGATTGTACTTAATAATTATTACATACAATAAATACTTTACTAATGCTATACATACATGTAGGTAAAAGAATAAAATATTCATACATCATATATAATAAAATTAGTTGGCTATAAGAAACATAAAAGACAATTTAGTAGAACATATATGTTCAATTACAAAATTCAACTTTGTGGAAAAAAAAAAAAAAAAACAAATACACTAGCACTAACTTAAGGAAAAAATAATTGATGCAATTTATAAGCTTCTAAGTAAACAAAATAGAATTAAAAAAAATAATATCGAAAAAAATATATTAATCGGATTAAAATGTAAATTGCGGTACGGTACGGTATTACCGTGGTATTAGAAATACAATACCAATACCGTACCATATTGTAATGGTACGGTACTAATACCGTACCGTAGACGATGGTTACCGTTGTTTCGGTAATTTTTCGGTAATCCTTGGTTGGTATACCATGGTATATGGTAATCGGTATTTTTTTTCCAGCCCTAGATCCAATAAAGACCAAAGGCCCAAACAAGATCAAAAGGCACCATTCAAGCCCATTAACAGAAGAAGCCCATCAGACTGGCACCGGTTGGGCGAGAGGGACCAGGCCGCAGATCGCGGGTAGCCCACGTGCGAGAGGCTTCTCGCTGCCTCACTCTCTCGCCCAGCAGATTTACTCCCCTCACCTACACTGCTTTGCATCTCTCGCCGGATTGCTCGCTCCCGCCCGGAGATAATCATGACTGCACATGGGGTATTTAATGCACGTCCAATCCACTGACAAGCGCAGAGGAATGTCTCTTCGACCCCTGCTTTTTGCCCCTGCAGCCGCCAATGAAATGACAGATTATACCACATTGAAGGTAATTTGAGGTCCGGATGCTTAATTACCGCGATGGGACAGGTAAATTAAATTGAAGAGTATTTGACGTCCGTCCCCCTTTTCTCTAGTATAAATACGGGCAGTAAATACAGGAAAGAAGGGGGGCAAGCATACATATCTAAATTACGCACATAAATATATTATCTTCTTCAGAAATTTACTGACTTGGCCGTCGGAGTGCTAACTCCGGCCTAAGTCCGGTTCTTTTCTTCCTTTGTAGGTTTGCTGTGGTCCTCGGTTCAAAATCCAGGCCTATTCAACTCTTTAAACCAGCCCACCACGAATCCAGTCGGATCAAATTGCGCCGTCTGTGGGAAGCCGTTGAGCAAATCTGTGGCAACGTTTCCCTTTAAAACACCTTTATCTGTTTTCCTTTAATCAATATAATATATCAATGGCCTCGTTTCCCAGCATAGTGAGGGACCTCACTAGTCAGATGGAGTCCGAGGCAACCCCAGCCCCACCGGAGCACCAACCAATCGTCGGAGAGGCCTCTACCACGAGAGAGGAGATGCCTCAGGCAACCGACATTACGGGAGGTAGCCCTATGGTCTCCATGACTATGGAAAACCTGCAGGCACTTTTGGCGAGCGCTGTCCAGGAGGGCTCTGCTCGCGCGCCAAAGGAGCCTGAGGCAGCGTCACCCAAGAGAAGGATGGAGGAGATGGTGGTACGAGGGGGCGAGGGGCCCGGCCGCACGAGTTCCTCGCTCGGTACATTAAGCCCTTTCTCAGCCAGCGTTCTGGAGGACGACCTGCCACACTCATTTCGACCTGTTACTTATGAATATTGTGGAACCACCGACCCTTTCGAGCATCTCTGTCGCTTCAACAACACTTCGGATTTGCACCGATTCACTGAGGGAGTAAAATGTCGAGTCTTCGCGACTACGCTAGCAGGAGCCGCGCAAACTTGGTTCAGCCAGCTGCCTGCCGGCACGATTGGCGGTTTCGACCAGCTAAGCGCCTGTTTTATGGATCACTTCGCTAGCTCAAAAAAACAGAAAAGGAGCACCTTGACGCTGTTCGCGGTCAAGCAGAGGGAGGGAGAATATCTACGGAGTTTTATCAAGCGTTTCATCTCGGCCACCTTGGAAGTACCAATCACCTCGGAGGAGGTCTTGATCAGTGCTCTCGCCCAAGGGCTGCGGGCCGGCGATTTCTTCACCTCGCTCTCGAAAAAGCCCCCCGCATCTTTCAATGCTCTGCTGAAAAAAGCCGAGCGGTATATGAACGCCGAGGAGGCAGTGCATAATAAATTTGGCGAAGCCAAAGGCAACCACGATGCGAGAAGGGATAGGAAGGAGGATAGAACGCAGAGACCGCCTCAACTCGCGAGAAGGGAGGTGAAAAACGAGAGAAAGATTGGACCTCGTTTTGACAGCTACGCAACGCTAGTCGCGCAACCGGGTGAAATATTGTTGGCCATAGAAAATAACCCAAAGTTAAAGTGGCCTCGCACATATGCAGAAGCACCGAAGAAAAGCCCCACGTTGGGAAGTTTCTGTCGCTTTCATAATGATTATGGCCACACCACCAATGAATGCCAACACCTCCGTGACGAGATCGAGAGGCTCATACGTGCAAAAAATCTGCCGGAATTTGTAAAAGAAGGGAACCAGCGCCTGCAGCAAGCCCCCGCTCGACGCGCGAACGAGCCTCGCAAGCTTGAATTGGGAAGGGAGAAGCAGAACGAGAGGAAGGACCAAGTGGCGCCCGCCAACTTCATTAGCATGATTTTGGGAGGACCCTCGGGGGGAGATTCCAACAGGGCCCGGCGAGCGCACCTGAGGCAGTTGCGAGAGACTGAGGAGTTATTTGGAGAAATAGAAGAAGCAGATCGGGCGAGTCGTGTACACCTCCGACGCTTGTACGAGATGGAAGCTCAGCTCGAGGAGGTGCAAAGAATTTCCTATGTTCCACCCATTACTTTTGGTCCGCAGGACGAAGAAGGAATCAGACAGCCGCATTCTGATGCCCTGGTGATTACTGCCATGGTCGCCAATTTTGATATCGCAAGGATTCTGGTGGACACTGGCAGTTCCGCTGATGTTATCTACTACGACTGCTTCAAGAAGATGAATATGGATTTTGAATTGAAATATGTAGAGACCAGCTTGGTCGGGTTCTCAGGAGAGTCGATTCGGTCAGTCGGAGAGGTATGCCTACCCATTTCGCTCGGAATGGAGCCGACGCGAGCCACGCGCTCCGTAAAGTTTTTAGTGCTGGATGCGCCCTCTACCTACAACATCATATTGGGACGCCCCTCCATGAATTCATTCCAGGCGGTAGTCTCAACTTACCATATGAAGCTAAAATTCCCCGTCCTGGATAAGATTGGGGAGGTCCGAGGGGATCAAGAGACCTCGAGGAGGTGCTATTATGACGCATTGAGGAGAATAGGAAACATAGATACTATTCGCACTGTCAATCCGGGCGGCCGGGAGAAGGACCGAATGCCGGAGATAGAACCTGCAAAAGAAGAAGCCCACGTAAAGCCGATGGAGGAGTTGATGGTAATTCAAATCTGCGAGAAGGATGCCTCTCGCACCACCCGCATAGGTGGCGGGTTAGACGCTGACATGTCTCAACAGCTGACAGAATTTCTGAAGCAGAATGAGGATGTGTTCGCATTCACTCCAGCAGATCTCGGGAGTATCGACGAACAGCTCGTAGTGCATAGACTAAACGTTAAGCAGAATGCGAAACCAGTTAAGCAAAAGCGTCGGCATTTTGGAGCAGAGAAAGACAAAATTATACATGAAGAAGTACAGAAGTTGTTAGCAGCGGGACAGATCCGGGAGATTCGTTTTCCTATTTGGCTGTCCAATGCAGCTTTAGTCAAGAAGGGCGAGGGGAAGTGGCGAATGTGCATTGACTTCAGGGATCTCAACAAAGCATGTCCCAAGGACTACTACCCTCTTCCGCGAATCGACCAACTCGTAGATTCAACCGCCGGTTGCGAGATGTTGAGTATGATGGACGCCTCACAAGGATACCATCAGATTCCGTTGTGCCTTGGCGACCAGCCCAAGGTGAGCTTCATCACCTCCACTGGAACCTATTGCTATACGGTAATGCCTTTTGGGCTTAAAAACGCGGGAGCCACGTACCAGAGGCTAGTAGACAAGATGTTCAGAGACCAACTCGGGAGAAACATGGAGATATACGTGGATGATATGTTGGTGAAAAGTCAAAAGGCGACCACTCATTTAGAAGATTTAAAGGAAACATTCGGCACGCTCTGACGCTACGACATGAAGCTTAACCCCAATAAATGTGCTTTCGGGGTGAAAACGGGAAAATTCCTGGGTTACATGGTGACTGAAAGAGGAGTGGAAGTGAATCCGGAGAAAGTGCAGGCGGTTTTGGATATGGAGGCACCACGTAATATTAAGGAGGTTCAGATGCTCGCGGGAAGAATAACAGCTCTGAGTAGATTCATATCTAAGGCGGGAGAGGCTAGTCACCCTTTCTTCAAAATACTAAGAAAGGGGACTCAATTTGAGTGGACGGAGGAATCAGGGAAGGCTTTCGAGCAGCTCAAAAACCTTCTCGCTCGTCTCCCGCTGTTAGCAAAGCCGCGCCAGGAGAAAAGCTTTATGTATATCTAGCAGTGGGCGAGTTCTCAGTCAGCTCGGTCTTAGCCCGAGAAGAGGAGGGCGTGCAGAGCCCAATATATTATGCGAGTAAACTCTTGCGAGGGGCTGAGCTAAGGTACTCCGAGATAGAAAAGATGGGCCTGGCACTGGTGACGACAGCACGAAAGCTAAGACCGTACTTTCTGTCACACGCAATAGTGGTCCGGACTAATCACCCTTTGAGAACAGTGATGGGAAGGATGGAAGTCTCGGGAAGAATGGTTAAATGGGCAGTAGAGATGGGGCAGTTCGATATCAGCTACGAGCCACGAATCGCCATAAAAGGGCAGGCTCTAGCGGATTTTCTGCAGGAAACAACGAGACCAGACGAGCAAGGGATATGGAGGGTGTTCGTGGACGGTTCGGCAAATGCATCAGGAAGCGGGGTAGGAGTGGTGCTAGCAGAGGCTGGCGAGGAATTGGAATACGCGATCAAGTTGCCTTTCAAAGCCTCAAATAATGAAGCAGAATATGAAGCCGTCATACAGGGTATGAAGCTGGTATGTTCAGCCGGAGGCAGAAAGTTAAGCATATTTTCGGATTCACAGCTAGTAGTACAACAAGTAAAAGGCGAATTCGAGATAAAAAACGAACGAATGATGGCTTATTGCGAGATAGTGCGATCGATGATGAGCGAGTTCGAATTTTGCGAGCTAGCTCAAATACCCCGAGAAGAGAACCAACATGCCGATTTTCTGGCAAAAATAGGAAGCATGGCGGTAGGATACGAGTCAAGAAAAATACAGTTGCTATTAGGGGAGCCAGGTCGCGTGGGCGAGCAGCAGGTTTCGACAGTGACAAGCGGGGAAGATTGGCGCACGGAAATAAGGGCGTGTCTGCAAGGAAAAGTGCTAGCGAGGGGCCGCGAGCAGAAGGTCCTGGAACACCGAGCAAGCAATTTTTGCTTAATCGGGGATATACTTTACAAAAGAGGATACACTAGGCCACACCTAAGATGCCTATCTCTGGAGGAAGGCCGTTACGTGCTGCACGAGATTCACCAAGGATGCTGCGGGGACCATGCAGGAGGTAGAGCGTTAGTCTCGCGGGTGCTAAGGGCAGGATATTTTTGGCCCACCTTGAGAAAAGACGCGGGAGAGTTCGCAAAGAGATGTGATAAGTGCCAAAGGCATGGTCCTCTGATTAACGCGCCGGGAGAGGATATGACGATAATAACTTCCCCTTGTCCCTTTGCGCAATGGGGAATAGATATCGTGGGCCCCATGCCGCTGGCGAAGGGGCAAAGAAAATTCTTAATAGTCGCTGTAGATTACTTCTCCAAGTGGGTGGAGGCGGTGGCAGTAGCCAGGATAACGGATACTGAGGTCATGAAATTCATATGGCAAAATATCTGCTGCCGATATGGGTTGCCTAGGGATCTCATTTCAGATAATGGAACACAGTTTAACTCAGCCAAGATACAAAGATGGTGCGCAGGTCTGGGTATCAAGCAGAGATTTGCAGCCGTGGCTCACCCGCAAGCGAACGGACAAGTCGAGGTGACTAATCGGGTACTGTTAGAAGGAATCAAGAAACGTCTGGAAGGTGAGAAAGGGAATTGGGTTGAGGAGTTGCACGCGGTACTATGGGGATACCGAACATCGCCAAAGGAGGCGACCGGAGAAAGTCCATTCTCATTGGTGTACGAGTCAGAGGCTGTCATACCAGTAGAGGTAGGAATGCCGTCGAGCAGAATTATGAATTTTCAGGAAACAGCTAATAGCATGCGCTTGCGAGAGGAGCTGGACTTGGTAATGGAAAAGCAACAGAGCGCGAGAGGAAGAATGGAGCTCAGCAAAGCTAAAATTAAGGTAGCCTATGACAAGAAAGTAAGGCGGAGAGTCTTTCAAGTGGGGGACTTGGTCCTAAGGCAGGCGGATGCGCTCAAAGCAGTGGGAAAGCTAATGGAGAAATGGGAGGGCCCATACAAGGTGGTGGCGGTGCTCGCAGGAGGAGCTTACAGGTTGGAAGATATGGAGGGAGCAAGCCTAGCTCGCGCATGGAACGTTTGTCATCTGAAAAAATACTATACATAATGTGATGGTACCATAATATTTTGTATTATAGGAATAGGCCATATTTTTGATCGTTTATCCCGCATAGCTGCGGGATGAACCATATTCCCTAAGTAAGCAGAAATAGTAATGGGAAACGACCTCTTTTGGAAAAACTTCTCAGAGTGAATTACGTGCACATAAGCAAAAAGTGTGAGCTAAAGATTATAATTATGAGAAATGAAGTAAAAACGAAAGTTGCGGGCATAATTTGCATCGAGCAAATCCCGCTAAAGAGTACGAGACGAAAAGTTTAAGAATTATTTACAATGCGAAAGTTGCGAGCGAAAATTGAATCGAGCTAGTAAGCGAGAAACGAAGTAAAAACGAAAGTTGCGGGCATAATTTGCATCGAGCAAATCCCGCTAAGAGATTACGAAACTTGCTGGAGAGCGAGAAACGAAGTAAAAACGAAAATTGCGGGCATAATTTGCATCGAGCAAATCCCGCTAGAGAATACGGAACGAAAGTTAGAATTATTAGCAAAGATTTGCATCGAGCAACTCTCGCAAGAATGCGAGAAAGAAAGAAATATTTGAAATATTTCCAATACGAAATTTGCGGGCAAAGATTTGCATCGAGCAAATCTCGTAAAAATGCGAGAAAGAAAGTTAGAAAATATTTGGAATATTTCCAATATGAAATGTGCGAGCAAAGATTTGTATCGAGCAAGTCATTTCCAATACGAAATTGGCGAACAAAGGCCAATAGCCATGAAATTCTCAGTAGAAGGCGAGAAAGAGAAATATGGAATATAAAAATTTGCGAGCAAAGATTTGCATCGAGCAAATCTCGCAAAAATGCGGGAAAGAAAGTTAGAAAATATTCGGAACATTTCCAATACGAAATTGGCAAGCAAAGATTTGCATCGAGTAAGTCTCGAAGAAATGCGAGAAAGAAAGTCGGAGAATATTTGGAATATTTCCTGGACGAAGTGTGCGAGCAAGGATGCGTCGAGCAGAGCCCTCTCGAAAGTAAGAAACAAAGTGCGCGAATGAAAGAAGTCATAATAGAACTCAAAAGCAAGAAGTGTAAAACTAAGAATGTAACAGAATAAACTCAAAACGATAGATAATAAAAATATCCAAATGAAAATTACATTGTTCAGAAATGAAAAAACGAATTGTTCAAAGTTACTACGAATAAGAAATATAAAAGCCTCAGGAAGGAGGAATATCGGGAAGGGTAGAGGCGGAACAGGTAGGGTCCAAGCGAGCCATGTTGGAAGGGGCTTGTGCAGCATACTGGTTCAACTCTGTGAGCATCCCCTTGAGCACGCCAGCCCACCAAGCGTAATCTACGGGTTCCGTAGGATTTCCCTCCCAGCCAGGGATCTCATCGCCCAGCAGGTCAAGAATGGTGCTGATCTCCTCAGAGGGATCATCAAGATTATGGCGAGCCGCGTACATACGAATGCCTCGATCCATGAATCCCACGCCTATCGGAGCCGCAACATTGGCAAAGTGAGCGGACGAAGGGTACTTGCTACATAGCCTCTCGCGATATCCCCGTAAGAAATCCTGCCCATCTATCGAGCACAGATGGTCATACAAACTCCTAGCCCGCTCCAAGGCTACGGTTCTTATGCACTCCGCTTCCACGACTTCCTGTTTGTGGCGAGAGATGGAGATCAACTGCTCCTTTTCCGCATTCAGGCGAGCCACCTTGCTCTCAAGAGAGGACTTCATGGCATTGTATTTTTCATGGCCCAGGCGAGCGACCTCCTCTTTTTCGTTCGTCAGCTCGCGGACCATGTCCTGAAGACGAGTCACTTCATTAGCTTTCTCGCTGGCTAGCCTTTTCATGAAGGCGAGCTCCTCAGCCTGACGCGTAGGATCAGTTGAGCCAAGACCATGGGCAAGGAGTACGTTGATCTAAGGATAGATAAATACATGAAGCTAGTTAAAAAAAAAAAAAAAAAAAAAAAAAAAAAAAAAAAAAACAAAGACACTTTTAATGATTATGACGCGAGAAGATAATAAAGTCGTGTACCTGAGAGCAATGGAACAGTAGGCGAGAGTATTGTTGCTCAAATGACATGCTCTCGAGAGCCTGGGCATCCTCCACGAGCTTGACTTGGCTAAAATGGGTGGATAACTCAGCCAAACTGCGATCAGGCGAGAGCGACGACAGATAGCCCCTGTCGTCCGCACGGCGCCTCTTGGACATGGGGGAGGCCTGACCGCCACTAGCATCCCGCTTAGTCATGCGACCTGCCTCCAGCTGCGTGAGCTCCAGGGAGCGAAAGGAGTCGTGCGCCTCCTGATTGTCCGCATCCTCACTACCAAGATCAATGGTGGGCTCCCAACGGACACTGGGCGGCGGGATGAGGCCCTCGCGCCTATCCCCGGGGCGAGGGGTGGAGCCGCCCGCCGTGCTCGCAGCGCCGACAGTAGGGGACTGCTGACGAGTTGAGGGAGCTTGACTGTTGGATTCAGAAGGGGTGCGAGAAGATTGCGCGCGTTGCTTGGCGAGAGCAGCCTTCATGGCATCTCGAATCATCTCGCCTGAGACACGGCAAAAATAACTTTGGTCATTTACGAGAAGAAAAAT